TTCTTATTTTTCACATTTAGATGTGTAAAAGCATGTTGTAAATTTGCATTCTTATGTAATTATCAATTAACAAGACAGTCTATACAAAAACAAAAGTGGGTGCCTTATAACAAATGTATCCAATTAATTACGTTTTTGTTTTTTTGTTTTTAATTTAATTGATTTTAAGTTTATTTTCCTTGAGTACCATTTACAGGTATTACACTAAATAATAATATTAGTTATCTTTTAGCTTTCAGTTATTTTATAGTTTTGTCCTTTATTTTTTCCAAAGGCTTGAAAGTAACACAATAAACTGCTGAAAATATATCTATTTTTATCTTCATTATGTTAAACTACATTTATGTCAAAGATTTACACAATTATTCTTGGCATTACTGAAGTAGCTATGCATGATAAGTCATTTTAAGCCCTCACACTTTGAGTCGGCTTTCTTTTTATGGCTGCCAGAAGTTAACCAGTAGTTTGAAAAGGTGGTGGGTCTAAAATGCCATGAGAAAAATGTCTAAAACTGAAGATTTAAGGCACTCTGAAGGCAAAATTTGGGATATACAGTAGAGTGTCATGAACTGCAAAGTTTAAGCAGCAGACAAACAAATGTTTGTTTGTTGGCTGACAAACAAAGGGTAAGCTTTATTCCAAAGCTGATAGCTTTAGTCCAGGAAGGGAAAAGATAAAGTGTAATCCAAGAATATGAAGCTGGTTCCCAAAAGGCTATAAACAGGACTACAGAGACTTATGCTGAAAAGACAACAAAGGCTTGTATAAAGATAGACTGTTTCTACACATGAAGGCAGATGTTAGGTAGATGGAAACGCTTCTCCTTCCATCTACCAGCACAGTTGAACTTAATCTAGACAGTGAGACAATTGAGGAAGAAACATTACATGCGAGACACAAATATCTACCAAAATAAATCAGGAAGTGAGTGACGATAACTGACACGGGAGATGTAGAGATTTGAACTTTCACACATCGGAGGATGCAGGGAGGGAGGGAATGCAAGTGACAACTTACAAACAGAACCTGGAAGTAAGAATTTGAAGTTCAAAGCACATGAAAACAAAAAACATAAATAACAAACTAAGAAAACAAGGAAAAGCATAACAAATCCACTTTGGTGTTTTTGTTTCTTCTTTTTTTGCTGCATCATGATATGGCACCTTAACCCCTGTCATCTGTGTTGTTGCAGGTGCAGAAGGAGAAGCTCCATGCCGAGCTGAAGCAGGTACTGAGCCAGAAGAGAAGTCATCTGAGAGAGTCGACCTGCCAGCTGGCCCAACCAGAGATGGACTCTGAGCCAGCAAATGAACAGACAGTAAGCAGAAGTCTGATAGACTTTTCAGGCTGAAATATATTACCTTTCTATGTATCAATGGCTTAAAGCTGTAATGTGCCAGGTGATGCACAGCTAAACACAGAAAACTTATTCCTGCATTTTACTTCCTCTCTTCAGCCTGTAGAAAAGTGAATGTAGTCTAAGAATAGAATGACCTTTCTT